ACTCATACCCACTGCCAAGAATTGATGATATTCTTGATGCCCTAAGTGGATCCAGGTGGTTTTCAACTCTGGACTTAAAGTCGGGTATCCATCAAGTGAAAATGGCTGAAGCAGATAAACATAAGACTGCATTTAATTATGGCCAAGGTCACTGGCAATAACGTGTGATGCCATTTGGGCTTAGCAATGCTCCAGCAACATTTGAGAGGCTGATGTAAAGAGTACTGGAAGGCATACAATGGAGAATAGCCCTAGTGTACCTGGATGATGGCATTGTGTTTGCAACATCGTTTGATGAGGAAATGTCCCAGCTAGAGGAAGTATTCAAGTGTTTGAAAGCAGCAAACCTCAAACTCCATCCCAAGAAATGCCACTTGTTCCAGAAAGAGGTGTTTTACTTGGGTCACAATGTAAATGAACATGGTGTGCAAACTGATCCTGACAAGGTGAAAGCAGTGCATGATTGGCCAACACCAGACAATGTGGTTGAGTTAAGAAGTTTCTTGGGACTCTGTACCTATTACCGGAAGTTTGTGAAGGACTTTGCAACTATAGCTGCTCCACTACATGATTTGACCAAAAAAGGCCGGAAGTTTCAATGGACAGTTTCTTGCCAGCATGCTTTCAAGACATTGAAAGAAAAATTGGCCTCAGCTCCACTTTTAAAGCTTCCAGATCTCTCACTGCCGTACATACTGGATTGTGATGCTAGTAATGTTGGAATTAGAGAAGTGTTGTCTCAGAATATGGGTGAAAACGAACATGTGATGGCCTACTTCAGTAGGGTCCTGAGTAGACCAGAGAGGAACTACCGTGTAACACGGAGGGAACTCCTTGCTATAGTAAAGAGTCTGACATATTTCCATCCTTACCTCTATGGGGCTTGGTTTACCATCAGGACAGACCATGCTGTGTTACGCTGGTTAAGATCATTAAAGAACCCAGAGGACAACTGGCATGTTGGATAGGAAACATTTTTTTTATTCCTGTAAACTCCCAGTGGAGCATAGGGCCGCAACAACACCTCGCCAACGGAAGGTGTTGTTGCAGTTACTTGTAGCAGGTTGGTTTTTATGGGGTGGAGTTGCTAGCCCCGCGCCCAACCCTCCCCTATCTCATCCTGGACTTGGGACCAGGCAAAGGCTGAGATTAGCA